TGTGCGCACACAGCACCAATGCTTTTGCCTGTCGCAGTAGGGCCCTTGGTGGTTGCCAGAGGCTTTGTGTCTGCTGGGCATCCCCTGGGAGCGCAGGGGCTCTCTGCAGCTGGCCATGGACACCACCACAACCAAGCTGGGCTCCAGCCAAACCAAAATATAAATTGCAAAATACAAATGTGGTTTAGGTCAGGTAAGGCAACAAGTGACAGAAATGTTTGCAATTGCACTGTTAGAGCAATTTGTCTGTCTGGTCCTTGGCTGGATTTGAGTCTGTGACATTGTGTAGAAGTGCACACCTTCACCTCAGCTGGGACCTGCATGGGGACCAGGCTGTGCCATGAGGCTCTTTGTTTTTGGCACAGTAAAAGCATCAGTCTGGCTGCTGGGGGTTAAGATGCAGCAAATGGTGCCCCCATCCTGCTTCCACACAGAAAAGAAAGAGCTAGCGTGATAGCAAAAATATGTGGAAAGCAATTCCACTTCAAGATGTGCTAAAATCTTTGACTCCAAAAAGCCCCCAGCTTGGTCTGCACAGGAGTGACTGATGGGGGAAAATCTATGAAATGCTCAGGTCTGCCAGCACTGAGCTGAAATTAAAACAGCTGGGGCACTGCAGCTCAGCAAAGCTGTGCTCAGACCATTCATCCAGAAAGGACAGCTCTCTCCTGGGATGAAGAAATAGCCAGTGACAAAGGACTTTCTGAGACAATGACAGCAGCGACTTCCCCTTCTGTGAATGAGTTATTTGTTCAGACCTGCAGCTCTCTTCTCACTTCTGCAATGTTTTGCAGTGAACGTGTTACAGCATCAACCCAGCCTCCATAAAACCCGCATTAAAAATCGCTGCTTTGGCTAGGAACAGGTAGTCTGAAGTGGCTGAGCTAGGCTGTCTCCAAGCATTTCCAGTCTGGATCAGCCCAGTCACTGAGCCCTTGGATCAAACACTGCTTTCTGTGACACCTGTGGTAGGTCACAGGGGCTGTTCCAGTTTGTACCAGTTCAGAAACCAGTCATGAATGAGACTTTTTTTCTTTTAAACCTCAGTTACACAGTTCTAGGGAAAATCCCCCTGATTCAAAGGATCCTGCGGATGGTGGTTGTGTGAGTGTGAGGAGCCCAGGCTCTGCTGGCGTTAGGTATTGTTGTTACTTGTTTGGCATCGCCACCTGGGGCAAACTGTGCTGTGGGCACAAGCCCACCTCCTTTCTGCTTTCACGTGAACCTGCAAAGGCTCAAATCTACACATACATACGCACAGAGCATTTGCTTCATGAATAAAAGCTTCACAGCTTTTGTAAAAGTGAGATTAAAAGGAGAAGCAAATGTGACGATGTGTCCTCTTACTGCTTCTCCAGCTGAGAAGAGAATCAAAAGTTCTCTTCCGAGGTTAGCTCCCGAGGTGTTCTTCCACGGACTTTCTGGTTGAAACCAGCCTCAGCCAACAAGACACCACAGAGCCTCTTGGTGCCTGAATTCTCGTTATCTATAAGCCAATTAGTCCTGTAGTTTATTCTGAAACAGCTAGTAAAACGTTATGCCCTTTCCCCTCCATCTGTGCAATGGGTATAAAAGCCAGGCGGCCGCGCGCTGCCTGTTACGGCTCTCAGCTATGAGAGCAATGGGGCAAGAAAGAGCACGAGTGTGAAGCTGTGTGTGTGTGTACAGCCCCCGTCGCTGCTCTAAAGCCAATTACCAGCTCCTCTTCCTGCTGGCGAGCAGGAGCAAGCGAGGTTGCTGGCAGTGACCGGGACGTGACAAGATGCCCCCGACCAGAGTGCTTCTTCAGGCACTGATGTTTTCTTTATGAGGCAACTGTTCCTGCAAGGGATCAACTTTTCTGTGCATCTCCTTAATGAAAAATTTAAAAAACGCAGTGTTCCCGTCTTGCTTTTTTTTTTTTTTTTTCCTTTTTTTTTTTTTCCTGTTGCTGTTATAACCAGCCCTGAAGGAAGAGGAAAAGTGCTCGGTGTCCCTCAGACAATGTGCCTGTGACTAGCCTGGCCTTGCCTGCTGTGCTGACAGCAGAGAGCTGGAGGGGATCAGTGTTTGGAAATGGGCCCTCAAGGGCTCCTGGAACAGGGGAACGTTTTTGAGCCATCGCTGCTGCGTGGCCCTGCCTGCGGAAAATGCTGACCAAAGAGACCCCGTCAAATCCACAAGAGGTAACACACTGCTGTGGCTCTGAAACAAGAAGCTGCACATCTTCACCAGGATGCGTGTTTGCCTTGAGAGAGCTGGAAAAAAAAGGTTGTGAATATTAAAAGCATTTAAGAAATAACCAGGTGTCTCTTTCCCATAGCAAAGGTAGGAGATTTTCACAAATAAACAGTTTTCCCATTTGTACCTGCAGTTTGGGGGAGCTAAACAGCTAGTCCTTCCTTAGTGCAGCGCTGCAAAGCCCTCAGCAGACAGTGCTTAGAAATGCTCTCAGAAATGCCAGCTATTCCCCTGCACCCACAGCAACATGCAATTCCAGGTCATTCTTTAATAACCCAGCCCAGATGGTGCGTTATGCACTTTGGAGGCTGCTGACCCGCTCCTGTACTTAGTGCAAAACCTGGTGCTGCTTCTTAGCTACAGAAAACCATGAGAATTGTCTGTTTGGGCTAGATTGGGATCTGTAATCACAGCACCATCCATCAGATTGAAAGGCTGGTTCTGTAAAAAGGAAAAGCTCAGCTGTAATACCATGGGGATGCACACACGGATAAAGCAGAGATGGCTTTGACGTTCAGAGTCATTCATACAACGAGCCTGTCACGTCACAAACACATCAGCCTAAATGCTCTACTGCTTATATTGCAGTTCCCACGCGGAGCTGGGGCCTGGTGCTGCCCATGGAGGCCGACAGCTACGCGGCATTTTGCACGCCGACGTGACACCGACCACACAGCTTGCAAACTGTGCAGGTACGTGGAACAGCACGATACACCTCCAGAACTGGGAATCAATCAGGGACATTAATATATGTATATTTTTGGTCATTTCCCTACTGATCACCGTCATTCTGAGGGTTGCATTCTGTACTTTGACATGGACGTAATAAAAGCTTTGGTGCAAAACGGTGACCGCAGGCATGTAAGTGCATTTCTGAATCAAGGACCTGCTGTGCCCCCACCACCACCGCAGATGATCTGCTTGGGATGTCACCTCGAAATACAGCCTAACAAACCTTGCACCCCTCCAGACAAGTGAACTTTAAACTGGGTCTCTGCTTTTTTGTTTTATGCAACCAAAGTTTGTAGCAGCAGGCAGAATGCTCGGTGGCTGGGAAAGGCTAAACCAAATGAACGGGGTCACTGAGTTCAGTACGTGCTGGCTAACAGCTGTGGGCTGCAGCACACTCCCAGCCACGGGGAGCTCCTCTCCCCAGCCACCACCAGGACAGGAGGCCGGGGGCACGGAGCTGCTTTGTTGCTTCTCAGTAAGCTTTGGTGGTGCTCTCGCTCCCAGCATGCACGATGGGTTTCTTCCCCATTGCTTCCTTGGCACATTGCACATCCTGGGCAGTGCGTACGTGCTCCCTGACCCCACCGCCTCGCCCTCCTCATGGCGCATGTGCAAGCTCAGAGGGGAGTGCAAAATTCTGGCAAACAACATTTTGGGCTTGTTATCTAAAAACATACCGTAAGGACGGCAGTGTGGGTAGGAGAGCTGTGCTTCAAAGGGAGGTTTCTGTATATTTTAGGTCTGCTCTCCCCAGCAGCATGCTCTGGAAGCAGTGCTGTGCCCAGCCACGCGTGTGACTGCAGCGCTGTCCTGCCAGAGAAGCAGAATCACTCAGACAGGTGAGCGCCAGCACAGCACCCACGGCATCATCATTGCAAGCAAAAATGTAAGCGAGAGAAAAAAAGCTTGGGTTTGGTCTGGGCTATTGCTGAAGCAGGAGGCAAATGTGAAGCTGTGATGTTTGAGGTCAGGGTGCCCCTGCCTCTGAACATGCTCACGATCTGGACCCCCTGAAACCTTTGTGCTCACAGCCTTGCCTCCTATCCTCTCTCTCTCCCTCTCTCTCCCAGAGCAGGGCTGCTTGGCTTTTTCACGTTTTTGGTTTTTGTTTTTGTTTTTTTTCATTCCCTTGTCTGCCCGATTTCCTCATGCACATGGGCTGAAGACACGGTCAGTCCGTGTGCTGGCACACACCCGCACAGGCACCTGCAGGCTAGGTGGGCAAGCAGCACAGTGCCACTCCGGGCAGGGCCGCTCGTGGCTGCAGTTGTGTGCAGGCCCCTTGTGCGTGTGCCTGGGCTTCTCCACAGGGCATCGGTCCCAGCCTCTACCAGGTCTGGGTGCCGTGGTGGGGTTACCCCACTTTTCAGGGTTATGACTGCAGTTTTGTGCTCCCTAGGGCTGCAGCATGCAGCTGCCTTACCTGTGACGTGCCAGCGGGGTTCTGGAGAGAGCCCTCTGCCTTTCCAGGCTGCGGCCCCAGGCTCCTTCTCCCTGCGGGTGCTCTCTGCCTCCAGGCCCAGGGGAACCCAGGGCAGGGACCTGCTCGTCTCCTGGGGCTTGGCCTCCTGCAGCAGGGCAGCGCAGGGCCGGGGCTCCCTCCCCTGGGAACCCCCCTGCTCTACTTGCAGGTGCTCTGAAGCATTTCTCCCGATGCTCACAGCGCATTCGCGATGTCTGTCTGAAGAATCGGGCTGTTCTTTGGGTTAGAGCCGTGCGAAGCTCGGTAACAGAAAGCATTTTAAAACCATGTTTCACAGAAGACTTGATCCAAGCTCTGTTTGGAGAACCCCCTGCCAGCACTTGCAAGGCATTTCTGTGTCTGTGCTGGACCTCCTGCTCCTCGTTAATCCTTTCCCTCCGTTCAGAGGAGGACACAAAGCAAGGGGAAGGGGGGGTTATTTCCAGAACAAGCCTATTTTTGGTTAGGTGTGAACGTCTTGGTGTCTGCTTTGCTGACAAGCTGGAGCCCCCCCAAGCAATTCGTGCTCAGCCTTTGGGAGAAGAGTGAGACCGCTCTGAGGAAAATGATTTAAAATGCCTTCAGATGCCTTTTCACTTCTTTTTATTTAATTCCATAAATATTTTCATAAGGCTCAGTGTCTTTACAACACTTTTTTAAACACTTTTTTTTGTTTGTTTTATACACACAACTTTGACACTTGTTTGACAGGGTCAAACAGTCCAATATAAACAAAATAATAAAACTGGCAAGTGCGGATCAGCTGGGTTACCAAAATCCTTTTTTTTTTTCTTTTTTTTTTTCTTTTTTTTTTCTCTTACTGTTAAAACCCCAAAAGCACTAAAATATCAGTATTTGGCTTCAAACTAGAATTTTAAAACCCTTTTTTTTTTTTTTTTTTAATTCTCTGCTACAAGTCCCTGTCATCATAGTGCCTTTAAACTCCTACAGACTCTTCTTTTCTTCTCAAGGAAAAATAAGCTTGGTGATGCCATGCAGAACTTACAATAGCTACTAAATATACATGTTCCCTGAAATGTAGCTGCAATGAAAAGATGACAGAGCATAAAGAGAACAAAACCAGAAACCCAAAGCACCACAGTGTACTATCAATAACATTGCAATGGACGGCCGGTGACCATCCAGAAACTGAAACAAATTTCAAATATATTTCTCTATGTATTATTTTCTATTTACAACTGTTAGATGCACCTAGGTTGATTCTTGTTTGATCTTTTTGGAGAGGGTGGGGAGGCGAAAGTCTTGAATTTAGATCCTCTGTTCTAGTGTCTAGGTCAAGGGGTAATGCATGTCATTTACCTAGGGAAGAGGGTATTTTTATTTTATATATATATATATAGTTTCAGCCAGAGAAATACCGTAAACATGTAAGTTTGTTACAACTCTCTTGTTTCTGCATATGGAATGGAAAGTGGGTTCCTCCTGTCTGGCATTGAAATGAAAGTCTGTATCAGATGCTCAGTCAAAATCACCCCAATCTGACAGCGTCTACGCTGCTTCCAGCACTTTCAGACACACGAGGCAGCCCAACCCTGCTCCCTAGTGGGAAAGCCACAGTAGGTAGTAAAAGTGGGACCCAGTGCTGGTTCTTCTTTGTGATAATGCTCCATCTCTTGCAGCACCTTGGCAATTTATGGAGGGGAAGAGCTTTCTTGAGTGCCATGCCTGAGAGCCAAGCCCCTCTTCCCTCTGGAACAACGCCTGCATCTGCTTTGCCTGCCACCTGGCTTCGGCAAGCGCTAGCAGCGCTAGCTTGGTTTGGCTTTCCACTTAAGAAAGAAGCTGTGAGTCCAACAAGTGGCCTTGTCAGATCAAGCGAGTCTTGATTTATGATGCAAATAATGGTGTGGCGGTGGTGTTTCTTTTTTCCTAGTGCTGAATATTTAGGAAGCATCTTCTCATAAAAATTATGGATGTCTCATTCTCACTCTCTGAGGCACAAAACAGTAAATGAACAGGCTTAACTAATGTGCTTGTTACTTTTTTTCCCTAAGCAATTAAAAGGCAAAGGAATAAGTGAAATTTCCATCATGTTGACAACAGATTATAATCTCTCTCTTTCTCTCTCTCTCTGCATCTCTCTCCAGCCATACAGAAACAGTAAAACATTTCAGTTAACTTCTGCAAATCAGTCTCATTCACTTCTCTAAATACCCATTCCGTTAAACAAACAAAATAATAATTGCTACATTTTCAATATGAAAATCTGAGCATAAAAATGCAAAGGTACAAAAGAGCATAGGAATTACTTCCGATAGAAAATTGCACTGCCTCCTGTTTGGGGTTCCCAGTGTTTCGCTGTTGCCTATCACAGAGGGGCCACTCTTCTGCTCCAAAATGCTAATCTGGTGTTGTTCAGTGAGAGTTTCTAGGTTACTAAAAGGTGCTGAGATTATTTTTGTACTTAAATAAAAAATACATTCGCTGCCTTGTAACATGCCCTGAAAGAAAACAGGCTCCACAGAAATACTGAAATCGCACTCTCTGCTTTTGCCATTTTCTTGTAGTTCTTGTGTGAAGAAAAAAAAAATGTTTATCCACACTACTGGCCTGAGGTGTTTATATGGTGTACCAAATTCAAAAGAAAATGATAAATACCATGATCTATTATTTCATCCCCCGTTTTCAAAGGAGCTTGCAGAATAGCTCTGCAACGTTTTTGAAGTTCATCTTCTGAACCTGGTTAAACAATCTCAGTTGTCATAGGGAAAAAAAAATCATCCTAGTGCACAATGATTTGTTTTACAAGCTCAAACATAAGTTTTTGCGCTTGCATACAAATGTAGTTAAGGCTGAAATTGTAGGAAATGTCTTTGAAAGTACAGCTATGAATCTCCAGAGTGAGAAAAAGAGAGAGAAAGAGACCTGGAGAATTCAGCTAATCACTCCAGAGCCCACTGACCCTGATGCACCCCTGCTGACCATCGCTGCAGTTCAGATTTAACTGAGCGGGGATTTAGATTAGGTCATACCCATGATCACAGGGCTAAACTTCTCAGGTCACATCCACATCTTTCCTGAAAGGCAGTTCTCAACTGCTCTGCAGCTTGGATGCATTAAATATCAGGTAAATACTTCCAATTACTTGGGCAATGATCCTGCTGCTGACGGGTCACTACTCATGAACACAGCTCATGTTTTGCCTGGGAGGTCAGTGCCCAAGTGGAGCCGGCGTTCTTAAACGCAAGAGTAGTGCAGGCATGGCCCTCTCTTTTGGGATCATTGCTCCTGTAAATAGCAATTAGTGGTTTGTTAATGCAGTACTGTGCAGGCGTGAGTGTGGCCACCAGGATGGGACCTTAGTTCCTGAAGAAAGAAAACTGGCCATTTGTTGGAGCCTAATAGCCAATTTTCCTCTAGCTGGAATGGAGGGCATGAAGCCGTCAGTTTTTAAGCTTTTATCTTTGCATGGAAAACAAAGATAGGAGTGGGCTTTTCAGAGAGTTGTGTCTCAGCTTAAAAAGAAAACAAATCAAAATCAAAGATAGCCCCACAGAAAACAAAAAAATAAATAAAATGCAAAAGAAAGAAAAGCCCCCAGAATTCTTTTCTCAGTCTTACGCCGAGTGTGAACAAATCACACTGAATTGAGAAAAAGATAGTGCTTTAAAAAGTGCAAGAAATTAACTGAGGAAAACCCATCTCTCACTTCCTAAATAGCTGCTACCCCTTCTGCTCGTTTTCACCTGCACACAACAAAAAGAGTTAAAGCCAGAGAAATACTGCGCAGCAGAGCATGGTGCACAAGGGAGCACATCCAGACAGGCACGAGTCAGACCAGAGGATGCAGGACAGGGACGGGGAGGGTCGATGCTCTTCGTTGAAATGGTGACTCCGGGGACAGCCAAGGAAGGGACGGAGAGGGAGGGAGCGATCTCCCAGCGATCCAAAAAACAAACAAACCCCCCATAAATAAAAATCAAACAACATACACCAATGTAGTCCATGAGAAACTTCGATGACGAATTCACACAAGCAGGAAAGCATTCTGGGATGCCAATGACAACTTGAATGAAGATGAAGAAGAAAAGAAAAAAAAACACAATGTCCGACCAATGGAATAAAATAAAATAAAATAGGTCACATGATTAGAAATCATTGGTGCTTCCTAGTATCTAGTAGCAGATTGCTTCCCAAAAACAACAAAAAAGTTTTTGGTCCTTCTGTATATATACATATATGTATATATATTATTTTTAAATATGTATGTATATATATATATATGTATATATTTAGTTGCAACAGTGCTTCTCCGAAAAAAGGTCCATCTATAAATATAATTTTACTTCATTTTATTTTTAATTTTAAACTGGTTTAAGTTAAAATTCACCATCTTTCTAGGTATTATTTTTTGAATGGTGTTAACCTGCTGAAGTTTTGCCAGAATGGTGCCTGGCTGCGTCTGGGTTCGGTGAACTCGAAGACCTGGGCCTGGGATATGCCATCTGTCACCATGTATTGTCCCTGATTTAATGGATCCTGGGGTGGTGGGTAGGCTGGAGGAACCGACTTGGAGCAGCTCACACCTGCATTGATGATTGGGGGGGAAAAAGAAACAGATCAGTCAGAGTGCAATCGGGTCAATAGTCTTTCTTCGTCATGCTCTCGCTTCTTATCGCTTTATAACCAGGGTCCCAAACAAAGGGAGACATGCTACAGACGGCGAGTCTACGGAGAAACGCAGCCGCTGCCTAACTCAGCTCAGAGGCTCCCTGCGCTGGACCGCGCGTTGAAGATTTGGAGCTGAGCCATTACTTTTGCATTGGCAGAGTTTTGCCTGCCCTGATGGAAAAGTCCCGCATGCCCTAGCGCGACGCAGCGCGATGGCTGTGCCGCAGGCGGCGCCAGCCTGGGCAGACGTCAGCAGACAGCCATAGCGCCGGTCCCGCTCTCCCATTTCACACTTGATGTTTCCGAGCTCGTTTTTCACCCTCCCAGCTACATTTACAATGGGTTTTGCCCCGGCAAAGGTGCCCCAGTGACCAGCCCCGAGCAGCGCCACCCCAAGGACCGCTCGGCACCAGCTCCCGCGCCAGAAGGGAGCAGCGCAGGTGGCTCGGGGGGAGCGCTGCCACAGGGACCTGCGTCACTAGATGAAGGACAACTTGTTGGTTTGGAAAGCTGTTCAGACTTTTCCATAGGGTTTTAAATTTATCGGGCGTGTTTCAGCCCAAAATGGCTATATGCAATGCAGTAAAGGCTTGCTTCTGCTCAATCCAAATGGGCAGCAGTGGATGGACTGGCAAGGCTACACCGCCAGGGTCTGTCGGTGGCTGGGTGCGTGGTGCCCACCTCAGTGTCACAACGCCTGTGCGGGGAAGGGGTGAGGGGACACTGCTCTCACAGGGTTCTCAAGACAGAGGGGCGCTCCAGCAAGCTGGGACCTACACAGCCACTCGGTAAAGGATGACGCACAGATCGCAGCGCGGGGTGAATGGAGGCGGAACAGAGGGAGGCGTGGTGCCACCGTAGTGCAGCCTGCAGGGAAAAGTCACAGCTACTTCTGCATCGCCTCCCCGCCACGCCACTGAGGAGGGATAACCCTCAGGATACTGCGACCAGCTGGAAACCGCAACTTCCGAAAGGGATGGGAAGGAGCAGGGCTCCGAAGTGGGGTGCTGTAAGCTCTGGCCAGCTCTGGATCCCCTCTGCTGCATGCAGAACTGCTCGTCCTTCTGCAGGATGACAGCCCCGGCCGCGAGACGGGTGGCAAGCGTCGCACGGGGCCATCGCGAGGCCGCTGCCTCCCCTGGTCTTAACCGCAGGAGCGAGGTGACTCTACCCGAGTAGCTCAGTGTCCTCGTCTGGAAAGCGGGATGGCATGACCCACCTACCTCACACGAGGGTGGTGAAGCTAAATTAATTAATGTTTGTAAAACACTTTGAGATCCTCAGATGGGAAGGTGCTAGAGAAGGCAAAATACGGTGATTAGCACCCAGGTACCACAGCAAGGTGTGTAAAAGAAATGTGACTGCATTCAGTTCCTAGCCACACACAAACACATGCTCTGGGGGACCAGCGCCGGCTGGCCCGGGCACAGGAAGGCTGCACACAGTCGGGTACTTACAGACAAAGGAAAAAGCCTCACAAAGTGCACTCATGGAGCTCGTCTGACCATTTCTATATGGTGCCACAGTGTAATCCAAAACCTCTGTGTTTTTTTTTTTAAATACGAAGCTAAGGCTCTTTAGGTGAGAAAATTCATCTTCTCTTGCTACAGGATTTACCCATCATGGATTCTTAAAGACATCAGAAGGTTCAGACCAAATGGAGATAGCATCTCAGTGATGGCTAATCAATTCCTCCTTCTTTACATCAAATACAATCCAATCATGCAGCTTTCTGTCCACTGCAGGGAGTAACCAAGGCTGTTCCTCATGGTGGACAAAAATTGCTCCATGATTCATTACTCACGAACCTTTAACCAATTCATCACAGTTAGTATTTCAAACAGTTGAAAAGAGCAATCTGGTGATGTTCTGCATTTCTATCTATGCTGGATTAGGTACTCATCAACAAGCTTTCTACTCTGCCTTTCCCAAGCTCCTCTCTCCCAGAGAAAGTGTGCAGAGAGGAGCCCAAGCCCAGAGCCCTGCTGTCCTGGGGTCAAACCCAGCCAGGGTCAGTGCTAGGAGACCCGAGACACCACGGGTACCCCTAGCTGGCGGGGCTCAGCAGTCCATTCGCCTTTGCCACGCTGTGACTTAAGCCAATGACATCCTGTAAGGGCAGAGCATGGGCCTGAGCTCACACCTGTCACACCACTTCCATCCCTTCTACCACTGTCCTGCTCCACGCTGCCTGGCTGGAGGGCGATTCAATGAGTGTGCAGTGAAACCAACTGCAGGGTCTGCTCTGGAGACCGAACTCCAGCCCCGAACCCATGCAAGAGTGCAGACATCCCCCTGGAGAACTGCAGCCATCAGTGCCTTGGCCGCTTCTCCCAGGAATTTTAGGCTCCGTGTCTAGGTTAGGATCTAGTGCAGGTCCCTTACATGGCTGGAGCTGGGAAATGCATCTTCTGTCTGGTAGGCGGGTTGGATCCCAAAGGACTGCTTCAAAGGGAGATAGTCCTGGTGCCACCAGGGTTACTACCCAATGCTCTACAACACAAAAGGGCTGTGAATCTAAGGCTGCTGCTCCGGGACAGCCAGCAGTTGTTTCTAGCTTTGGAAGACCTTAAAACCACGCTGCTTTAATGACATGGCCCAATGTCTTTTGCATCCTGTGGTTGCAGAATAGCATCTGGCCTGCCATGCTGAGCCGTGCTGAGCTCTCTGCTGTCTTTAAACCAACTTGTGGAGGGTGACCTAATGGTTTTTAATCACGACACAGAAATGCTGTGAAATCTCCTGGATCAGCAAAATGTTATGCACTTGGGAGGCTGGAGAAGTAGAGAAAGGACAGGCTGGCTGAAGTCCACTGACATTGATGGAGTTACACTGCAAAGAATGTACTCCATAGGCTGTCTTCTCCAAACAAGAAAAAGGCAGACTCCCCTGGCCAGATCACTAGCAAACCCCAGTCAGTTCTTTCCCAAGAGAAGCCTTTTTGGTCCAAACTCCTGGAACACAGCTATCCCCGCCTGGAACATGCCCATGCAAACACACACGCTGCCACTTCCCGCAGTAAAGAAGCTCAGACCCAGAGTCTTCAAAATTTTGTTGTGTGTGACCCTGCCCGAGGATGTAGGGTTTTAGTATTAGCATCTAAGTTGGATGAACTTCAAAAGCTCCCGGTTGGTTCTCCTTGAATAAACAGCCAAAGGTTTGCATATTTATCATATTTATCAAATGGCGTCCATGGCCTGACCGATCACAACTGTGCGTCTCCATGGCATGCATAATTACTGGGTGTTTGAGGGCATGCAAATAAAAACATTTGTGCTCTGGCAAGGCAGGCTGATTATTCCCTAAGAATACATTTTCTTGTGAACCTGTGATACGGCATGTTCCAAAAGCTGGAGGTGCCCCGAGAATGGCTTTGGTTTTGACATGCCGATGTTCCTGACAAGGTGCAACACAGGAATTATGTGCAGGAGGAGGGAAATTCACCTCATCTGAACATCTTCAGAACCCAAGAAGGAGCAATTCCGGGGAAAAGTATGACAGGTTGCTATTTTTCTATTCTGCTGTGAAGCGGTTTGTTCTCTCATCAGAACTCGGGGCTGTTGTGCAAAATTGTCTCTTGGGGGATTTTTTTATATGCAAAGCCATCACTCCACTGCAATTCAACAGAAAGAAATGAGCAAAGCTCTTTTCCAATGCAATTTTGGGCTGCTCGGCGAACAGAATTCAAAGCGCAAAGGGAAAGAATCGATAGATCAGTAATGATTTCCAGCCACAGCTGCTGCACTGCCTTCCCGAGGCGTAAGAAAACAGCTCTACACCAATGACCAGACTTGGAGCTCCTTCTGCTGGTTCATGCATAATTCTGCACAGTAGCAGAATATAAAGGCTGCAGCTGCACAGCAAGATCATTTGGCAGGGTGGGGGCCGTGGAAATCTGTTCGGAATAAGCAAAAAGAAAACTCCAGGGTTTATGATTTGGCTAGACAAAACTGGTAAAGAGAGATGCTGTGCTGTCAGTTGAAATTGTGCCTTTTTTTAGTGCTAGGACACGTCACTTGGAAGCTTTTGGCTTTCGCAGCTCAGAAGAAAACAATTAAAAGACAAAACACGATCTCCTTATTTTTTCCTTCTTTTTTTTCAAAGTGCCTCCTCTATTTGTGATCACACCGGGACTCCAGTAGCACCTGCAGACCCAGGAGCTCGCTGCCAACTCCCAGGACATCCACATGGACACGTGCAGACAGCCCCGCATACAGCGAGCGGGGCGGCTCCGCTAACACTGCACCTCGTGAGAGTTAATACAAAGCAGACACGGAATGCACTCCAATTTGCCTCTATAACCATGGAAACTTGCCTTACAAGATGCTTATTCCATCCTCACCCTTTAAGATTTTATCTCGTATTTTGATCAGGAGCTATTTCAGTGGCTTTTCTTCTGCCTATCCATCCAGGTAGCGTGCTGCTCGTTGCTCCCGCTCGTTGAGTGGGAGACAACAAAACGCCGGCACCTCCTTCTGTGGTGGCTGAGGGGAGGCTGCTGGAAAGGAGGCAGTGCTGCACTAAGGGGCCTTCCGTGTCCTCAACAGCAGCTTCAGGAGCCGTGTTCAAAAAATCTTACAAATTTCGTTTCCTTGTAGGTATTTTAACCCACACAATATGGGTTGCAGGGAACATACCTCAAGAACACTAATTGATGTATGGTTAATTACTGCTGCAGCAGAGACAAATTTGGTTTAAAGAAACCAGAAACAGCCATGGCTGACTGGGTACAGCCCTTTGCCCTTCTTCAGCACATTTCAACAGAGGATCTCAAAGCACTTCACCACTGCTCATTCCGTTGCTGTTATATTCAGAGTCAGCAAACTCCTCTGTGCCTGGTATTAGATCTGCTGATTGCAGACAGCTTTTACACCAAGAGCACTTAGCAGCCACGGACTTCACTGGTCTTCACTTCCATGCTCAGCTCTCCACCTCAAATTTTGTCACGCTCACTCAAGAGGAACCTAAGTGGTGCATTAGCCATGGCTCTTCACGCAGCAGGGGATTTTTATCAATGGTCTGGCAGAGGTAGATACTGCCAGGAATGGTACCTGTGAGGAGAAGATGCCTGAGCTCCCCTTTCTAAGCCTAACTTCTCTGTTTGGAGGAGAAGAAAAGGGCTCACTGATGCTCGGGGGGACCTGGCAGCCTTGAAAAGTGCAACAGAGGAAAACAGTGATCTTGTGGCCGGGCTATTCCACAGCCAAGTGCACTGTCTGCAAACACCAAGCTAACCTCACCTTCCTGAATCTACTTACCAAGCCTGTTACCGCAACCTAATGCCATCAGACTAGATGGTAAGATAACGATTCCTCATGTGATGAGCAAAAGCTAAGTGAGGCAAGGTGGAATAAATGATACAAGAGCTTTATCAATCAAAGCCAGGTGAAAACTAATTGTATTCATGTAGTCTCCCTCTCCTCCAGCATTCTCTACACTGACAGCAACGAGCACGGTGCTTGTGCCATTGATGGGCAGAGATCACTTCGTCCAGCGCTGCCCTGAAATCGCTGCAGCCTCGTTGGGGTTACAAAATGAACCAAGCAAGACTGTCCCTTGCCTGACACACCTCACTGAGCCGAAAGTACAACAGTGCTGGGCTGACAGCCTCGCTGCAGTTGGAATCTCAACCTGACATTGATGTCAACACCTTGACTCTTCAAATGAGGGCTCGGCATTGATGGAAAACCCGGGCGGGCTGTTTCACATCTCACCAACAACTCCCCTGGAGGATCTGCTCAAAGCGTGTGCCCACTGCTGAGTCACCGACACCATCCTCAGAGGTCTCCCAGCCAAGAGTTTATTCTTGATTTTGCTTAGCTTGGTGCTGGACCAGATCTCGGATGGAACTGCCGATTGTCTCGATGGTGGTGATCAGAGAGCACTGCCTGTGGACCCGCAGCACCCCGGGGGCTGGGGCAAGCTGCAGGGGGGCACCACCTAACGCTGGTGTTTGGGAGGCTTGGGGAGGGGTCTCTGTTATGGGCAGTGGGGTAAGCTCTGTGATGTCTCAGTCTGTGGGGAAATGCCACCAAGAACATGATTAGCTCCATTCTTTCACCTGTGCAGTGGGAAGCTTTGTGAAAAAAGGAAATGGCCCTGAATATGTGAAAATGCCAATGCCCCTCTGTTTCTAGCTGCTTGGTCTATGTGTTGCTCAGGCTCTTTCAGCCCCCCAGGCTATGTCTCCCCAGGTGTGAGGAGGATGGAAAACAGCCAGGGCCAAGCTCGTTAGCAACAAAGATGCAAGAAACGAGGTTCAAACATTCAGAAAAACATCAGGAGGTGCCTGCAGACTCGGTTACCTGGTAAGCCCTGTCCTTGCCAGGTGGATGAAGCCAGCACAAGTACACTAATGCGCAGTTGCCTTGTTCTGCTGTGCAGACTTGCTGGGGGAGAGCTTAAAGCGTACAAGTTTGAGATGTTAAACAAAGCTGTTGGGTGTTCGGGTCAGGGTTTTATGAGCTAGTTAGCCGTGAGCTCAAGTGATCAGAAAGGAAGAAGTTAGCAGGAAAATTCAGTGACTCAGAGGGAGTTTTACTGCAGGCCACAGCAGCTCATGCTGGCTGATGATTTAACCCCTGCTGGGGTTTGCATAGCTGGGTATTTACGGACAGATTTAATGACAGCATCCTCAGCTGAAGGCAAAGGGTGATGTATGTTTTCCTCCTTCCACTAGTCCCAGACCACCAGGCTGAAGACTTGTCTGGGCTGGGGGCCCCCACTCTGGTGAAGCTGTGGCACAGTGCAGGGGTGAATACATGGGACAGAGAGAAAGGCAAGGAGCTGGCTCAGAGCATGGGGCTGCAGAGCTCTCCTGGGGCCGGAAAACCCTCTCACCTAGCTCTAAGGCCACTTCTTTAAATTTGAGCAGACATTTAATTTTCCAAAATGGGAATATTAATGGGAAACAGAGCTTTGAAGATGGGCTCTCTTCACTGGGCAGTGGAACTGCTGATCACCCTGACAACCCTGGCTGACAGCTTCCAGGATCGTGAGCTCATATCCCTTTTGTGCCTGGGGGAAGGAGACAGCCTGTGTGCTATGGGGCCAGGTGTGGACAAAGCTGGGGAATCCAGGAACTGAATGTTTCTGAACGCTGCAAACGCTCATCACAGGAGGGAAGATCAAAAGTGGCCACCAGAAGGGACGTCCCTGATGGACAGAGGCAGTGAAGGAGCCTTCTGTTTCCAGACACTCAGAAGTGGAAAAAAGTACCCTGGATAATCCTGTGTCGGTATTAAGAACAGACCAGAGTCCTACACGTGATCCATTTTCATGGGGACTTCAGCCTTGTTTCCACTGCTGTAGTCAATCACAAATGCAATTTTGGAAGTGCAATTTGATGCTATCTTAATGTCTGACTTGCCACCGCAGGCAGCAAAGGTCCTCAGTGGTACCCGGCCTTATCTGCAGAATTGCAGACTCGATCGACCGTGGTTTAAAAAGGGTGGGGTTTTGTTGGTGGTGCTGATGGTTTGTTTTTGTTTTTTTAAATCAAGCCACATCAAATACTCTATTATTTTACTATTTCTAGGAGCCACCACGCTGAATTCTATTTCCAGTTACCACGCTGACACTGAAAGACACTGAAGGGCTGTACCTGAGAGACAAAACCTTGAACAATCAATGCAAAAAGAAAACAAAAAAAAACCTAACAGTCCCTCTCCCTATCTGTCGGTAAGGTACACAACCAACCCTACCCATTTACCTTACATCTAATGGACTTAAAAAAGGCAGAAAATTGGTTTAATGCTGTCTTAAGGCACCTGGCCTAATATTATTATGTTTTGTCCAATCTAATAAGTAGTGCAAATCGTAGTATATTGCTGAAATCTGACCTTGCACATAATTAAATCAATTTGGAAGGAGGCTTGTGTATGCATTTCTGTTTGGGCATGAGAATTAAGGGGTGGTTGCATCCAAATGGTCTGACTTGAGCCCCACAGACAACCCTCATTTGGGGACTGAAAATCTCAAAACACGGAGCTGTGCTCTTACTTAATCACCTGCAAGAAGTTTCCATTAGTTCAAAAAGTTTCAAGGTTCCTTCTCCTGCTCTTGGGTGCTCTCACTGTCTCGCCCTCGTGTGCTGCAGCGAGTGGTACTTTAAATGCTTCCCCTTAAAATGCACGCAGCTGGCTCCAGAGTAATACCTCTGGGAGGTGTGGTACAACAGGGCATGAAATGAGCTGCAGTTTATACTATTTGAAAAATGTTTTTCTGCTTCACTTCTAACAAAGTTGATCGCATTTTCCATTTCACCTCCTTCACGGCTTTTCTCTCTTCCTTAAGTATTCTGTGACAGGGAAATTACCATGGGTTCCCATTTAAGAGGTGGAGGGAATGACTGAGATAATCTAGAAACAAGTAATAGGCATCCGCTGACATGGGAGCAGAGCTCTCACCACTCAGGTCGTGCTGCTGAGCTGTCGAGCCCTGCAGCAGCCACTGAGATCTGTCCGGCGAAGATCTCAGTGCCTTTAACTTTACCTGAATAAATACTTCAGCTGAATGCAGTGGAAATTTCCCTATTCCTAACCAGTTTCACTGCTTTCCAGGTATAACTGATGCTCCAGAAACAACTTAACACCCCTTCCGATGCTTCTGTCCTGCTGTGGGAGGCTGGGTGGGGGGGACAAAGGCAGTCCCGCTGCCCACAACTGCCCCGTGTGCGCACACCGGTCTGCCTGCTGCCAGCCCCGAGAGCAGCACGTCGGCCACAGCAACACAGCCCAAGCACCTTCCAGGGTCTTTGGCAAAAAAAAAAAAAAAAAAAAAAAGAAAAAAGTTGTTGGCAATTGATGTTAAATGCACATGGAAAGATTCAAAACATCAGTCACTATAAGCCACCTCTCTGGGATGTCCTCCTCCTATCTTTCTCTTCTGAGCAATTCCGCGAGCTCTCTGCTCTGTCTGTCTTGTGCTTCTCCTTGGATCCTGGGTAAAAGCACAAGGCAAACCAGGGTAAGAAACCCAAGAGTTTTCAGCAAAACATTCAGTGCAGCTACGTAATCTAATTAATCTAAGGCAGGGCTATGACTACCGTGACGTAGGACAAAAGAAACAGAGCCACTAATTTAATGGCCTTATTTGTTGTTATTTGAGATTTCGTATCTTAAGTAAAAGAACCAGACTTTGCTTAACTTGATGCTAGGGGCCTGACTGAATTTCTATCCATCTTGAGGACTTCATCTCATAAAAAGAACTCCCAGTGTCATAGCATATGCTCGTTCTGCATAAAAGAAATGCTGACTGGTGTTTTATGAGCTAATTAATTTTATCAGAAAAGCCTACGCTGATAACCCCCCCTCCCCTTTTTCATCTCTGAGAGAAAGAGAGAGAAAGAGAGGAAACGAGAGCAATTGCTGAATAAGAAATGAGTACAGTGCAGTTACGCTCATTATGTTTGTCAGGATGCAAGGACGGGGATTTAATTAGGAGTACTGGTAGGCATGCTCAGGCACCTTTGAACCGTGTCACTTAATGACTAAAGAGTAAAATTATTAATTAATAATTAATTAATAATTTAATTGAACAGCAAATAATAATTAAAACTGGTTTTGCCACGGCCATCATGCAAGTCAGATTATCCAGTCACCATAATTTCTGTGATTGCTTCCGTGGCTGGGGGAGGATCTGCAAAACCGAGCTCGTGATAGCATCCGCTACTGCCAGACCTACACGTACACCGTGTCACATACCTGTCCCCGTTTTTGCGTATTTTGAGCTTAGAAAATCTGGCCAGGAGAGTTTTTAGAGAACATCTCAGCAGACAACAAAGGAAGTTAGTAGAGAGGAGAAGACTAATGACAATGGAGAGACACAGCAAACCATGGTGTTTACAGCTGGCCTAGCGAACCACTGCTGTACCAGCAAAGCCAGTAGACAACAAACACGTGAGGCAGAAAGCAAAGAGCTCCTTCAACTTCTGCAAAAAAAACAAAACAACCCAATGCCCGTAGAGAATGGGGAAGAATCTACCTGGGACTGACTACAGCCAAGAAACGAGTTCTCTTAAAAACCCTGTTATAGGCCTAGTTGTGCTGAGGTACTTTGGTAACTGATCAATATGTCTATGACTCTGTAAAGCTTTGGAAAACGTGAAAAATTACCTCTCTGACTTCCCCTCCACATTGACTATTTCAAAACCTATAGCTGCAGGAGTTATTGCCAGAGATAATTAACTATGGCCGTCTGGGCAGCTGAGACTCCCTTTAACATCTAGCATGGCATTTATTAGTTGGCCTGGGTGGGGAGGTGAGCCTGACATCGGAGATACGTAACATCTTCACTAAGATGCATTACTTCCTAAAGCTGATGCTTCTGTGCTGTCCTTTAAAAGTTACAGGCAGCCCCAAGAACCATGAGCATCCCCCTTCCAAAAGCAGGAAAGGGGCAGATCCCTTACCATGCCCAATATTTTAGCCTTCTTTCTTTCTTTTCTAATGGGAGACTTTGGGAATTAGCAAAACACCTGCACATCTCCGCATTCACTCCCATTTCAGCCTGAGATAAACAACTGAGAAAGATTTCTGCCCCCAGGGACAGCTTCTGGACATGGGACTGGAGACACGAGATCAAATTCATCTCTAGCAGAATTCCACTGGCTTCAACCGCATTAGACCAGAGATTAATTTGGCCCACAGGTACATTAAGAAAGGAAACAAAGCACAAACGGTATTTTATAAAAAAAGAGAAAGGGGAGAGGGAAATTCAAGGGGGACACTGGATCCTAGCCCAGCAGGATTCAGCCCAGCCCGCTCCACCCTCACATCACCAGGCACAGTGCATGTTGCCGGTTACCTTTTTGCTTACTGACTTTCTTTACTGTCATTGCCGCTTGCCGCTTTTGATTTTCAGAAATTTCAAAGCCTGAAAAAGGGAACACGGCAAATACAATTCAGAAGATTGCTTACAAAGCCTCCTTTTCTCTTGGGGAGGGGGGAAATTTTCTGCACTGTTTAGCAAACACAGAACTCCCTAGGTGGCAAAGCATCACCCAGTGAGCTGTGTGTACCGTAAGGTATTTCAACGAAAAGCAAATCTTCCTTGAAAGGCCAGGCCTCCTTATAATCTCACTTGTGCAGGGTCTGTATGAAAAGTAAGATCAGACCCATTATTATTTATACAGTATCATCAATATGCCCAGTGCTTTACAGCTGAGCAACACAAACTGAGCCTGAACCGACGCTGGTTACAGTCAATTTATGGGCTGATGCTGAGGGAAGGGCACGGCTGATAAGTCATGGACTTTGCCGCCATCCTGCCCTGCACAAGATGTGCTTAACTCGAGCAGAAATGAGGCAGCCAGGAGACTCTGAGGTCAGGTGGCCGAAGAGTTCTTTCTTGTACAATACCCACGGAGGTCCAGGCTTGAAGCTATGGGCAGAATTTGCTCATTGAGGGCCCAAAATACCAGTAACTGAACTGGAAAGAGACCTATTTCATGGCAATGAGAGCAACCAAGGACATTTGAACTGTAATGCTACAATTAAAAAAAAAAGGTGGGCTTCTCCAACACTTGGGTCTAAATTAAGCATTACCAACAATCTCCTTTCAGATCCATTTCATATTCCTCACCTATCTTTTCATCTTCTTTAACCATCTTCCTTTCTTCTCTGAAAGCTCTGAGCCATCGCAACTTCTCCTCCAGTTTCTTGGCAAAGAATAAGTGCATTTCCTCAGTCTCCTTGTTATGAAGTTTGAAGGCATTCTTCATGCTCACATTGAAGTCATCATCTCGTCCGTCTTCTATATCCACCACTTCGTATTTATCCATGTCTATGCGACCTTTGTAATACAGAATATCTCTCCGTATCAGGTCCTGCAGAGAGAAAAGGAGAGATGGGCCGATTGTAAGGTACTTAGAGAGCCTCGACTCAGCAGGGAATTCATGGGAGGGTTGAAGAAAAGAAAGAAGCAATGGTGAAACACGGTCAGAGTCTTCAATTTTGTCTGCTGTGAATATATTTGTTGCTGACAGAATGAATAGGGGACATCATAGACAAAACACAGCAAAATAATACAAATCCTTATGCTGCAAAATTTTGCTTGTAGGAATGAGAAAATGCCTTTTAGTAGGCAATACTCTTCCATCATTTCCCATGTGTTTAGTGTCTTCTTACTGAGCTTAGGGTGTTACTCCTGCTCCATATGACAGGAGAACAGAAAACACAGGCCGGTGGCCTGATGGGATTACTGTGCTGCAAAAGGGGCTGTGTGGAAGGATAAAACTTGAGAAATCAGCTTGTGCATGCTTGGCAGTGCAGGTCCAGTAGTGCAGCTCTCTCTTGTCCAGACCCAATTTTAGTGGCAGGGTCTCTGCCATTTCTGCCGTTTGCCTGGAACTGATCTATTCTTGCACAATTCATCGGTGAGAAACCCACCCCCAGTTCTCAATTCAAAGAACCCTTAAAATTCTCTCTAACCCATTATGCCCTGGTTTTAACCAGCTTCATTTTCTGCTTATTCCCTCCTTGACGTTTATAGCCTTTACAACCAGACCTGCTCATCTTCACCTGCTTTCTAGATCGATCATTCAACCCCTTTGCTTATCAGCGACTGCTCAATTCTCCATGCCAGGACGTGTAAAGAAAATTAATCTTCATTATTAATATTTCAGAACTCAGGTAAGAACACCCGCCGTTCCTTGGGCTGTTTGACCTGCCCAGTGCAACCTGCTCTCGTGCCAGCAGCACACCGTGCAGCAGCGCTGTGTTTCGGCGACCGCGGCCCAACGAAGAGTGGTTCAAGTTACAAGGCATGCATATGTGAAAAGGCAAATTTAGAAACATGCAGTTAAGGTTGTCTTCCTCTATCCACTCTCAAAATATAATATTTGGGTGTATTAAATTAACTACATTCTGATTTTTGAGAGTGCTCTAAGATAAACGCAATGCCAAACAATTCATTTAAAAGGAAAGAAAATCGATGTACAACATTTACTTATTCAACATTTAGTAGCGAGGTGTTTTTGTTGTTGTTGTTGCTTTTTTGTTTGTTTGTTTGTTTGTTTTAAGTTAAGCAGTAGGCATTATTTTAAACAAATCATTTATCTTGAAAATTAAATTATACATTATAGTTTTTCAGCAAACTTGCTCATGGATCTTACAGACAGCATTAACTATCATGAACTGGGCAGAAGCTTGTACTCTCTAAAATTTGGATCTCTCCTCTAAAATGCTCTATGGGGGAAAAAGCATCCATTAACTAATGTATTGTATAAATCCATTAACCAAGATGTTGTATAAATATCTTCCTCTAGTACATAGGCTTTGAGCAGTGATGCTGTCCAAAACATAAGAAAAGGATACTTCAGGCTGACTATGAATAGGAAAAACTTTTCTACATTTGAAAATTTGTCCCCCCCCCCCGCTGATAAGAGGTGTTAGGCATCACACTAAACTTGTTCAATTAAGTCAATACTGTGAAGTGGGTTTAAATTTTAGCCTTGGACTAGTTCTTCGAAATATCATTCATCTTTACCACATTCTCAAAAAATTGGTAACAAAACTCACAGGAAATAGATTTACTCCTTAAAGCAGTTATACAACAAATATTCTTCTTCCCAGACAAGAAGAAGAAAACTTGCTGCTGTTGAAAACTTCTAGAACAAAGCAGTCTGTCCTTGTGAGACAGGTGAAGTGGGATCCAACATACTTTTCTGCACAATATTCATGGTTATATAGAAATTTGTTCATAAAAGGTATTATAAAAAATAAACAATCACAATCCTCCTCACCTGGTACTGAAAATACAACACTCTGTGCGTTAGCTTTTTCCTTGCCCATACTAGACGCCTTGCTTTCCCTCTTATCTCTTCAATTTTGGGTTAGAAAACATTATGAGCTATTTTTAATACCTAATGCTACGTGAATGTTTTAACAGCCTTACGCTGTTGTTAGGCTTCCAGAGGACAACGCCTCTGGTGTGGGCACGTTCAGCTGAGCTGCTCCATGCATTTATTTCCCTTCCACGGCTGCAGCTGGAACAGCCGTGGAAGGGGCTCCTGCAGCTCAGAAGCTCCTGGGTTTTGCAGGTATTGCTGCGTGTTGGGTGTGAAGATAACGGTGTTGCCTAGGAGTTACTGAAGGAGCAATGAGGAGATAATGGAATCCTACAAGCGCTTTTGGAAGTGAGATGGCCCCACGGAATATTATCCTTGGTGAAAATGCAGCAGCAGGACGACCAAGCTCAGCTATCTGGACTGTTTGCAAAAACCACGCAGAGAAGAAGCGGCGTGTTTTTGTCCTTTGGCATTAAATAAGCACATCGGGGAAGCTGGGAATGGCAGCAAGCGCAGAGCTCCCGCCTGCCTCTTTCACTTTCATTCTGAGAAGAGACTTTTCGGTAACAAACCAAGAAGAAAAGCATCAGCCTCTTTCCCGTCACCCTCCCCAGAGCACCCAGCCTCCAGCTTGGCAGGAATCTGCTGCTGGAGAAAGGGCCCTGGAGGCGAGGACCAGAGGAGAGAAAGGCTCCACAACAGAGGCAGGTGAAACCCTTCAAAGGTGCCCAGGAAATCAGAAGAGCTCAGAGCTGGCCCATGAGGGATGTTACCTGAGTGAGGACCATTGCCCTGTGCCAGCGGTGCATTTCTTCCTTGCTTCCATCATGGAAGGACCATTCCCCACCCATCGGCCATGAACTCCAGCACCGGTACCCAAGTTTTCAAGGGACCCTTTCATTTTCCACGTATTAGCGCATGGTTTGTATGCACAGGTGTTTGAGAAAGTTCAGTCCATACAGCAGATGGATAACTGCAGCTAGATCAGGTCCCCTGCAGCAGGGACAGTGTGCTGCTATCACTCCTGATTATCCCAGGGACACCACAGGAGAGAGTCTGGAAGAAATTATTAAACTCTAGGATTTAGGTTTGTCTATGTGCTGGCTATGTTAGTACAGTATTATCTAGCTGTAGTTTAACCAGCATGAAGACCAGCTGGTTAAACTGTCCAGTTTTGGAAGTCATACAAAAATAAATAAATAAATAAATAAAAATGTTTCATTAAGTGCAAGAAAATGTGGGGAAAAAAAGGCTCTGAAAACCTGATCGGTGGGGAAAGGCCAAGAAAGATGGAGCTGCTTAATCTAGAAAGGACATAAATCAAAAGGAACAAGCTATTGGTATTCCAAAATGAGAAAGCTTCTTCGAAGAAGGCTGGTGATCAATTATTCTCCATTTTGATTGTGGCTTGGCTTAATTTACCGCAAGGGAGAAGGGGATTAGATACTTGGAAAAAAATCTTTCTAGCTGTAAGAGCTGATATGCAGGAGAACAGACAAAATAGGGAAGCCTTGGGACAGCACTCCCTGGAGATTTTCAGAAATAAGGTTAGACAAACATCCATCAGAGAAGATCTGAGTATACTTAATCCTGCAAGGGAATAGCTAATCTCCTGGGGTCCATCCCAGCTCTACGTTTGGATGATGTCTAAGAGAAAGGCGACAGATGGAGACAAAAAGGGATGAGAGCAGGTAGGATTATTACGGACGTCAGGGGCAGTCTGAGAGAAGCCCCAGGGCGCGGGCTGGGACAGCAAACACGAGGAGCAGTGACATAAACCTGCAGTCTCTGCAGACTGCATCCAGATTGCATTGCATGGCTCTTAAGAAAATTGATGCATTTAGGTCATTTGCACTTATTTGTCTGAATATGATCTTTTTTTACCCTACAGCTTCTGTGATTTCTTTTTCTTTCTCTAGCTGAGAGGTTAATTAAGCTCTTCTGAATAAAATGCTCTGCAGTCTGTTCACATAATATGTACCAAGAATTCACAAGGAAAAGATGAAGCCAAAAAAAATGTATTTGATGGGAGCACAAAACAAAGTTTTGACACATTACATAAACCTACCACGATTCTGCTCTCTGCTTTCTCGGAGGTCTGCAGCTGACGTGCCTGTGCCTGGGGTAGCGGCTGTGCTCGGGGGGGGCCCTGCCTGTGGGACCTGCCTGGGCCCTTTTATCCTGCTCCCACCCTGACTTAAAGTTCCCATTTCACTGCCCCCTCTCAGAAGGGGAGAGGTGACTTCCTCTAGCCAGGCTTGAAAGAAAAAAAAATCTAATTTGTGACTGCCACGAGGAAGCTGAGGCTGGCCCTTAATTGGAAAAGCTGAAGATGTGGAGTTGCGCCGTGGCTTCCACGGTGAATTATGCACCTACCCCCAAATTATCCCACCGGATTTAGACATCTCTATAAAGGATTGCACCCGTAAATCAGACTGCTCAATAACTCTTACTACTTGCCCTAGCACGGCTTTCTCCCTCTGCTCCCCAGCTTCAATCCAGCCTGGTTTTCCTGCTGTGGGTACCGGGGGACACAGCCCCGCAGGCAGGCGCTGCCTGTTGGTGCTGGGGGTGCTGTGCCCTGCAGCAGCCACCCCCCGTGCCACTGGGAACAGGAATAGAGGAAATAGGATGTTAATCACGAGGAGTCAGTTGCTAGTGCAAGATGGCTTCAGAATTAAAAGCTATTTAAGAGATTAAGCAGCACACGAGGAAGAGATTTCTCTGGGCTGCGCACCGGGGAACCTGCCCGCGTGGGACGCCTGCTGCTGCTTGCACAAAGCTGGTGTCCTGTGTGGAAAAGGGCACGCCGCCTGTTCTGCACACACTTAGGGCAAGGTTTGGGGTGAGCTCTGCCTGGGAAGAGCCCAGGAGGAGGGCTCAGAAAGGAGTGAGCTCCTGTCTGTGCAGGTCCCAGGCACTGCCTGCGCCAATGGTCCCACCGGTGGGGCGCGGGACCTGGTGGGATCTGTCGGGAGCTGGGGGCACAGAGGGGCTGTGCTTTTGGGATTTGCTGCCGTGGGCAGGTTCTCAGCAAT